TGTAAATGTTTTACACCAATGCAAACAGCCTATTCCGTCCACATTTCGCTTATATAATCTGTATGTACAGTATATTAATGTTATTTTTCTTATCTTTATATATAGTTTAGCTTCAAATATTCATACAACTATGCTTCTCTATTGTTTGATTTTTATTTGTAAGCCCTGTTTTATTCATAGAAAAATTAGTGTGGTTGAAAAACCGAGGGCCACAGCAATTGCCATTTCATATTTTTAGATGTCATTGCCAATATTTTGTGCCTTGGGAATGTGTTTTATAGGAAATACTCATATCGAGGGCTGATGTGTGTTGCAGAGCTTATCTCAGCTGAACACACATAAAGGTCTAATACCTGATTACCTGTATCCCACAAAAATAACATCATAGGTCCTATAGCTATATTGTGTGTGGGACACTAATCATCACTTGACCCCGAGAAAACAGAGAAAACATTATTGTCGCTTTTTACTTAACTAGTAGCAACTGTAAAATACCCACAACAAGGATATTGAGATATAACATTTCCAAATTACTATCATTGTATATTTGAACAGTACACTGCAAAAAGAAAAAAAAAAACTCCACTAAGATGTGATTTATGAATTGGCTTGAGGTGATTATAGAGATTTTTTTTCCCTCTTATTTCTGCCCTTACTAGTCACAAACAACATACTGTAGCCACTGCAAATAGATCTGTTTGGCACCCCATTTTGCACATTTTGTATGACTCAAATCACACCACATCCACACCAAAAAAGTGAAGGACCCTTTTTCTGGTCTGCACTAGAATTGGATTGCATGGGTATTCACACCCATGCGATCCAATTCTGCACATCGCACCTCGTTTTGTGAACCGATTTTGGGGTGTTGTTCACTTAACATACACACCTGCAGTGGTTTGCAATTGTGATTCGGTGCGGATTTTGCACGGAAACAGGTGCAAATTCCACACCGCATCAATGTGAACCCAGGCTAAATGCTATCTCCACCTTTAGTAACATGGTACATATATTTAAGTTGCCCTGAACGCTAACTGTCACCTACTGAGCCCCCATGATAGTGGGCAGGGCTTCTTCTCACCCCTAGACCCTGTCACATTTAAAATCTGAGCACCTGTTCAGTGCTCCATCTGCACAGCCACATTATTCATTCACAGAGATCTTTGAATTAATAATCTACAAGTGGCATCTGACACCACAGCAGATGATCAGCACATTTGTAGTCCATTGATACTACCTCCAGCTCAATGATTAAAATCTTTTATAAGCAGAAACCTGCATATAGTTCCATAGTTAGGTTGAAAAAAGACACTTAGTCCATTTTAGTTCAACGCATAAAAAAAAACTAAGAACATTTTTTTATATATACAGTGGATATAAAAAGTCTACGCACCCCTGTTAAATTGTCAGGTTTCTGTGATGTAAAAAAATGAGACAAATATAAATAAATATTTCCAAACTTTTTACACCTTTAATGTGACCTATAAACTATACAACTCAATTGAAAAACAAACTGAAATATTTTAGGGGGGGGGGGGGGAGTAAATATAAAAAACTAAAATAGTGTGGTTGCATAAGTTTGCACACCCTCTTATAACTGGGGATGTAGCTGTGTTCAGAGCTAAGCAATCACATTCAAAATCATAGCAAATAGGAGTCAATACACACCTGCCATCATTTAAAGTGACTCTGATTAACCCCAAATAAAGTTCAGATGTTCTAGTAGGTCTTTCCTGACATTTTCTTGGTCGCATCCTACAGCAAAAGCCATGGTCTGCAGAGAGCTTCCAAAGCATCAGAGGGATCTCATTGTTAAAAGATATTAGTCAGAAGAAGGGTACAAAAGAATTTCCAAGACATTAGATATACCATGGAACACAGTGTAGACAGTCATCATCAAGTAGAAAAAATATGGTGCAACAGTGACATTACCAAGAACTGGACGTCCCTTCAAAATTGATGACAAGAAAACTGGTCTGGGAGGCTGCCAAGAGGCCTACAGCAACATCTGGCAAGTACTGGCTGTATGGTACATGTTACAACAACCTCCCAGATTCTTCATATGTCTGGGCTATGGGGTAGAGGGGCAAGAGGAAAGCCTTTTCTTACAAAGAAAAACATATAAGCCCAGATACATTTTGCAAAACACATCTGAAGTCTCCCAAAAGCATGTGGGAAAATGTGTTATGGTCTGATGAAACCAAGGATGAACTTTTTGGCCATAATTCCAAAAGATATGTTTGGTGCAAAAACAACACTGCACATCACCAAAAGAACACCATACGCACAGTGAAGCATGGTGTTGCCAGCATCATGCTTTGGGGCTGTTTGTCTTCAGCTGGAACTGAGGCCTTAGTCATGGTAGAGGGAATTATGAACAGTTCCAAATACCAGTCACTATTGGCACAAAACCTTCAGGCTTCTGCTAGAAAGCTGAACATGAAGAGGAACTTCATCTTTCAGCATGACAACGACCCAAAGCAATCATCCAAATCAACAAAGAAATGGCTTCACCAGAAAAAGATGAAAGTTTTGAAGTAGCCCAGCCAGAGCCCAGCCAGAGCCCAGACCTGAATCTGATCAAAAATCTGTGGGGTGATCTGAAGAGGGCTGTGCACAGAGGATGCCCTTGCAATCTGACAGATTTGGAGTGTTTTTGCAAGGAAAAGTGGGCAAATATTACCAAGTCAAGATGTGCCATGCTGATAGACTCATACCCATAAAGGCTGAGTGCTGGAAAAAAATCAAAAAAGGTACTTCAACAAAAAATTAGTTTAAGGGTGTGCACACTTATGCTACCATATTATATTAGTTTTTTTTTATTTTTACTTCCCTCCACCTAAAAGATTTCAGTTTGTTGTTCAACTGAGTTGTACAGTTTATAGGTCACATTAAAGGTGGAAAAAGTTCTGAAATTATTTATCTTTGTCTCTTTTTTACAGCACAAAAAACCTGACATTTTAACAGGGGTGTGTAGACTTTTTATATCCACTGCTCTACCCACCACAGTTGATCCAGTAGAAATAAAAAAATAAAGCCTGATCCAATTCACTCCAGTGGGGGGAAAAATCCTTCCTGATCCTCCAGGAGGCAATTTAAAATTCTCCGGATCAACTATCCCTGTTGTTATTACCTCTAAGTATTACCTTCTAATTATATTTTGTGCATTTAAGAATGCTTCCAGCTCAAGTTTAAAAAATTTCTGCTGAGCTGGCCAGGACCAATTCTTGAGGGAGTCTATTCCACATTTTCACAAATCTTACTGTAAAGAACCCTTTCCATATGAGAAGGGAAAATCTCTTTTCCTACCAAAGTAAAGAATGTCCCCTTCTAATCTGTAATGACCTGCAAATGAATAACTCTACACCGAGTTCACTATATGGACCACTTAAGTATTTATACATACACTGCATATCCCCCTCCTTCATCTCCTCTTCTCAAGAGAGAATAAACTCAGTTCCTCTAATCTTTCCTCAAAGCTGAGCTCCTCCATGCCTCATATCAGTTTGGTTGCCCTTCTCTGTACTTTCTCCAGTTCCCTGATATCCTTTTTTTGAATTGGTGCCCAACATTGATTTGCATATTCCAGATGAGGTGTTACTAATGATTTGTACAGGGGTAATATGATATGATCTCTCTCTCTCTCTCTCTCTCTCTCTCTCTCTCTCTCTCTCTCTCTCTCTCTCTCTCTCTCTCTCTGTAGTCTATACCTTTTTTGCTACAAGAAATGATTTTGCTAGCTTTAGAAACTGCAGCTTGACATTGCATGGCATTATTAAAGAGTAACTCCACTTCTGTTGAAAAAAAAACTTCTCCTCTGAATTATTTATGTACATTGCAAGGATTTTAACAAGCTTTGTTACATATTCCTATATTTTGTTATTCTTAAGAAATAGCTGTTAGTTTGTCTGTGTCCATGTGCAGAATGAATCTGTAGGGGAATAGTTTTATAATTATCATTTGCACCTGCAGAGATCTAATGAGGAAATTGGCAAGGTCTGCCTCCCTTTTGGACATGATTTCCCTTTGGGAGTATCTCACCAATAATGACATTTTTGCTGCAAGGGATGCCAAAAATCTGACTTGTATCTTAGTGCAGATTTTTGGGAAAATCATAGGGTCAATCACACAAGCCGAATATAACATTTTCAGTTCTGCACCATCTGTGTACAGAATGCCTCCAGGTAGCCATATTGCATTGCATTTTACAAAAAAATTACAGCTCTGCAGATTGAAAAGGAAAGGTAATTTTGAATAATATTCAATTACAATATGACTTGTGTCACAATTGTATATGCTATATTATTTTTTTTGCTAATGTTTTTCTCACAAAAATGGAGTTACCCTTAGGGCCAGTTCACATCATAAAAAAACACATTCCAAATGTGTTCCAGATATGTTTTTGCTTACAGTTCACACCACACTTCATTCCAGTTGACATGTTATGCTGTGTTCTAGTACAGTGCTGTGCAGAAAACACATAGAAATACATAGAAAACACTGTGCATGCATTTTTGATGCAGAAAAAAATGCACTAGACGGCATCTGGTGTGAACTGGCCCTCAAGTCTAGTCTATGTTCTAGCAGAACATTCAGATCCTTCTCTGCCATTGAACATTCAGATCCTTCTCTATACTGTTCTTCTAGTGTGTATGATACATGCATGTTTTTTAGCCCTAAAGTGCAAAACATTACATTTATCAACATTAAGCCTCATTTGCCGCACAGTTGCCCAATTAAATAGTGCATTGAGGTTGGCTTTTAAGTTGGAGACATCCTGTATTGATGTTATTCCACTGCATCTGCAAACACTAAGATTGTATTTTTAATCCCAAATCCTATATAATTTATAAATATGTTAAAAAGTTGCAACACAAAACCTTGGGGTACACCACTAATAACCTTAGACCATTCAGAGTATGAATCATTAATTATTACTCTCTGGATATGGTCTTTAACCAGTTTACTATCCATTTATAAACTGTAGGAAATGTCTGCATGTGCCAGATATTGCACTCATGTTCCAATCAGGGGCGGACTGACAACTCATGGGGCCCCCGGGCAATAGGGGATCATGGGGCCCCTGTGTCCTTGCCCAAACTCAAAAAAGCCTATGAAAAAGGTACCAGGGGCATCTCATGGGGCCCCCTACTGACGCCGGGCCCTTGGGCAGTACCCGGGTTTCCAAATGGTCAGTCCGCCCCTGGTTCCAATGATATCGGGTGCAATACTTTGCAGGATCACACATATAAAAATATTAACTGCACATGTTTTACTTGCAAAAACATGTGCATGTATTTATTTTTTTTAGAGAGGTTAGCTTAACCTTTAAAAGGTGTGGTTGGGGGGAAGTAAACATGTGGCTCAACTTCCTGTGTATACTGCCCCCGACCAGAGGTGTAAACAATGAGCATTTTTTTGAAGCTGAATATCATGTTATCTGCGAATGTAAAGGTAAAAAAATAAATAAAACAATTACACTCCATTTTATGTAGTCCACAGATTCAGAGGAGGTACAGTCCAGTTTTACAGTTAGGCACAATTCAACTCATAAAATAGATTTTGGTGAGAAAATGTAACACAAACAATTACAGCGCTGCAATGAGTTGAGTGACACAATCCAACAAATGTGACCTAGATCAAGCTTATTCATTGCTGTTAGGTATCCATAAAATCACCAGGTCACCTGAACTTGGCCCATTAGTTTTGTTTTCCTTGTTCTTTTTTTTTTAGGGAAAATAAAGTGTATTTTACTGAGCACACATTTCATTTTAATGTTCAAAGAAAAAAAAAGATTCTTGTATTCTGCACTCTGTAATACTTATTTTAAAATTACTTCAATACACTTGGATAGTGATAATCTTGGATGTCTGTCTAGTATTTAGTATGTAGAGGTAAATAGCAATTAAGCCATGACAAGAGTAGATAAATGAACCAGTTAGCTTGCTTTACAAGCCATTATAACAATATGTAAACTGTATGATAAGTAAGAGGAAAATAACCTGAAAAGAGAAGTATGGCCAAAGATTTTTTAGTCATACTTCTCTTCTCGGTCATGGGAGTGCACTCCTGTGGCTCAGAGTCAGCTTATAGAGGGCTATTGCCTGCTGTCAGCTGACATCACATAGCTGCTCCAGGTTTTGGAAGGATCCAGGCCATATTGTTGCCTGATTGGCAGCTGGCTACAGCTTTCAACCCGTCTCTTCTCCAGTTTGGCACTTCAGTGAACTTTGAAGGGGCAGAGCAGAGAGTGATGACCGACAGTCACTGGTCTCCACTCCAAGAAGAGTGGCCTTGTGATCACTCAGCTCTTGCTCTTAGAGCCAACTTTGGGCAGCTGCAGCATCAAGGTAAATATGTATGTTTTTACCCATACTTCTCCTTTAAAGCTGATATGTCGGGTGATAAATTCCACAGGTGCAAGCCTCAACAATAGAAGGCATGCATATCAATTATTATATTCAAATCAAAATTAATTTACTTGCCATTGGTCATTGAGGTTTGTCTCTCATTTGTGGAGTTGAATGCCCACTATTTTAGCCTCTAATTAAGTTTTTATATGATCTTTGTCTCTACTTGGAAAAAAAGGATGTTTTTGCATTCCTGGCATTGATTATCTGCTGTAATTTTTGAATGACCATTGTGTCTGGTTTCTGTGAGAGGTGGGAAACTGACCATTCTGGTTATTTGGATGGAACTGAGCCTTGGCTTACATATGTGTATCACAAACTCATAACGTGTCTGCATCTTACCACAGGCGCAATGCTGCAGTAATAATTTAGGTGGGATAGGTGTTAATTTTTATTTATGTTTGCCAATTATTTTAACATTATTTTCCACCAATGTAAAACTGTAGAGTTTGGTGTATTTTAATAAATTATCCAGGCATAGCAATTCCCCATAGTCTGCCTTTCTAATGCTTGGATTATTTATTGTACTGTATATCTAACATTACAGCTGGGATGATTTAACTTAAACCTATTACTGCAAAATTCAAACATATCTGTAACTCAGTTTTGTAAAAGTCCAGCATTTGAACTATTGCACACAATGCTTTGTTAGTTGTCATTTAATGTTTTTGTCTATGAACATTCAATCAAAAGAAAAAAAACCTACATTTTATACAAGACATGAACATCCCAAGGCTAAACAGTTTTGTAATTCATCCCTATGCAATGCATTTTTCATGTGTCCTTTTCTTGGTATATTGCTGCTCCTAAAGCCAAGATGTCACAAAATTTATGTGGTTTAAGAAGGAGGGAGCCAAACTCTTTTAGTATGCTTTATTGCCAAGAAACACCATGGAACAAATATAGGGCAAAACCTTTTTAAGGCAAAACAAACCAGTACAAATAAAACTGTTTCTTTAAGTTATGCTCTAGTTACAACTGAAAGTAAAATCTTGAGATGCATAGCATGTAAAATATGTACTGGCTAGTTATCACTAGCCAGTACAAGCTCACTCTTTAATACTGGTGTCAGCCAGTGCCAATGTCCTGATCATCAACTGGCACTGGTAGAGTGTTTTAATACCAATATCAGTCAGCACCAGTGTCCTAATCACCAAGCACCAGCACCAGTCTTCTAGTTCCAGTGTCAGCCATAGCAAGTGTTCTGACCACTAGAAAACACCAGTTTTCTAATACCAGATCACCAGTCTTAATCATCAGCCAGCGTCTGTTCAGTTTTTTTGTACCAGTGCTAGCCAGTGGAAATGTCCTGATTGCCAGATAGCACTAGTAGAGTGTCCCAATACCAGTGTTGCCCTGATCACCAACCAGCTCCAGTAGCAGTGTTCTATTTCAAATGTCATCCAATGCAAGTGTTCTTATCACCAGAAAGAATCAGTACCAGTGTTTTAATACCAGTATCATTAGGCACCAGTGTCCTGATCACTACTCAGCACTTATACAGTATTCTAGCAGAAATATAAGCCAGTGCCAATATCCTGTTTGCCAGTCAGCACGAGTACAGTGTTCTAGTACTAGTATGTGCCAGTCAACACTAATATTCTGATCACCAACCAGACCTAGTACAGTGTTCTAATACAAGTTTCAGCTAGCACCGGTGTTTTGATTACCAGCCAGCACCAGTACCTGTGTCTTAATACCAGTGTTCGGATTCCAGTGACAGCCAACAGCCAGCCAGTTCTGTGATTGCCATCCAGCACCAGTACCAGTAGTAACAAGCAGCAGTGTTGTAATCACCATCCAGCACCAGTAAGTGACTTAATACCATTGTCAACAAGTGCCAATGTGCTGATCACAAGCTGGAATTGTTCTAGTACCAGCCAGCACTAGTACCAGTGTTCTAACACCAGTAACAGTCAGCACCAGACCTGATTTCCAGCCAGCACCAGTACATTGTATTAGTACAAGTGTCATTCAGATTCAGTGTCCTGATAGCTAGCCAGCACTAGCAGAGTGTTCTAATACCAGGGTCAACCAGTGCGGCTGCCTTGGTCACAGCAGCAAGCACCAGTATCTGTGTTCCACTACTAGGGCTAGTCACAACCAATGCCCTGATTGGCAGCTAGCATCACTACCAGTGTCAGCCAGTGCATATGTCCTGATTGCCAGCAAGCACCAAAACCAATGTTTTGATACCAATGTCATCAAGCCTCTGTGTCCTGATCAACAGCCAACATCAGTACAGTGTTCTAGTACAAGTGTCATCCAGCAGTCTGATCACCAACCAGCTGCAGTACAAGTGTTTTAGTATCAATGAGCAACAATGTCCTTATCACCAACAAACACCACTCCCAACTTTCTAGCATCAGTATCAACCAGCACCAATGTCCTGATCACTAGTCACAACAGTAACATTCTTCTAGAACCAATGTTATCCAGAAACAGTGTCCTGATTGCCAGCAGCAATACCAGTGTAATCAGATACCAGCGTAGGCCCAAAGAGTGTCTTGATCACCATATAACACCATTACCAATGTCATTGGGAACAGCTATCAATCACAACAGAAGCCCGATCACCAGCCAACACCAATGCTTTGTTCTAATACCAGTGTCAGTTAGAAACAGTCTCCTGTTCACAAACCAGCCCCAGCACAGTGTTTTTTTTTCAGCGTCATCCCTCAACAGTGTCTTGATCTCTTATCAGAACCAATACCAGTGTCCTAGTTTCAGTGCCAGCAAACAACAATTTTCTGATTTGCTAGCTAGCACTATTACAAATATTCTAGTACTAGTGTCACCAGCCAGCACCAGTACCAGCTTTCTAGTACCAGTATCAGTCAGCACCAGTGTCCTGATCATCAGTCTTGCAAGCACCATTGTTTTAGTTCTGATCACACTATGTCAGTGCCCTGATCACAAGCCACTCCAGTACCAGTGAAATTTAGTAGCAGTGTCAGCCAGCACCAGTGTACTGATCACCAGCCATACTAGTGCCAATGAAATCTAGAATCAGTGTCCTGATTGGCAACCATACCGATACCAGTGAAATAAAGTGCCACTGTCATCTAGAGCCAGTGTCCTGATCAAAAAGCAGCACCAGTACCAGTGTCATCAGTTACCAGTGTCAACCAAAACCATATTCAGAAGCAGTACCAGCGGACTCTAGTATCAGTACTAGCATTAACAAATACCAGTATCAACCATCATCAATGTTTGATCACCAGCCACAGCAGTACCAGTGATCTAGGACCAGTACCAGCCAGCAGCAGTGCCCTGCTTTCCAGCCATACCAGTACCAATGTCATCAGATATCAGAGTCAGCCACATCCAGTGTCTCGACCACTAGCCAAACCAGGACAAGTGTCATTGGGTACCAATATCGGCCCTGATCCTCAGCCAGTGCAAGTATATTATTCTAATACCACTGTCAGCAGAAACAGTGTATGTATCACCAGATAGCACTGGTACAGTTTTCTAGTATGGTCAGCCAGAACAATGTGTCTGGATCACCAGCCACACTAATACCTGTGTTCTATTGCCAGTATAAGCTAACACAGGTGTTTTGATCACCTGTCACACCAGTACCAGTATCAGCTAGCACCACTGTCCTAATCACAAACCACACCAGTACCAATGAAATCTAGTACCTGTGTCAGCCAGCACTAGTGTCCTGATCTCAAGTCATACTAGCACCTGCAAAATCTA